GCCTGGCTTCCAAAGGGAGGAGAGAGGAAGGTCAGTGTTCCCAGGGTGGGACTGGAGCCAGGTGTCCCCATCCTGCCTCACACCATGGACCACTTGCTGTCTGGCCCAGGGCCAGTTGCTAGGGAGAAACCTCTCTGTCCAGCAAACATGAATGACCCCTTCTCCACCCCTCACCTCCTCCCAGCCCCAAGCTTCAGGGCCTCCCTCCCAGGGGCCTGACTTCAGCTTGCAAGGAGTGCTTTTGCATGTGAGCTCTCCAGCTCTGGCAACTGTCAGGGCTGTGAGAGGCTGGGGGCACCAGGCTGTGTGAAAGCAGAGTGGGCTCATGTGTGAGAGAGTGAAAGAAAGCACCAGAGGCCGACAGTGAGTGTGTCATGGAATCCAAGGGCTGCCAAAGCATTGTGCTGCAGTGGAGCCAGGGGAAAGGGGCGGGCTGGGGAGCTGCTGGGGAAGGAAGGATGAATCAGTGGTGGGGTGGGGGAGCACAGGGCCCAGAGAGGCCAGGATTCCTTCCAGAGGCAGGTGGGGGTGGAGTGGGATCCCACCCCCACCCCTTCTAACATCCTCCCCCAGGATCTGGGAGAGGGGAGCAGGAAAAGATCTGTAAGGTGGAGTCTGCAGCCCAACCTTCTCCCATCCCTCAGGCAACATCAGTAAACAAGACTGAGTCTTTGCCCCCTCTCAGCCTCTTAAAAGCAGTCAGTGCTTCAAGAAGCAGATGGATTTTAGGCCTGCATTGTGCTTTACAATAGGCTGAATTCCAAAATGTGCACTATAGCCCCCTCCCCTCCTGGATAGTTCCCTCTGACTGTTAAGAGGGAACTGTGGCTCTAAAGTCTTGGGGAGCCAGGTTTGGTCCAAAGTATTACTCAGAGGAGGTGATAGGTAGAGAGTGTGTCCAGCCTGAGAGTTGATGCTGTAACCACCCCCCACCCCACCCCCACGCCCCAGTTAAATTTCCTTCTCCTCACTTCTTTGAGATCCCACTGTGCTCAGCATTTGGCAACATGACTTTCAAACCTTAACTGAGCATGTGCCCCCTTCTTTCTCCCAGGACTCCTTTGTTCCTAAAGCTCTTATGGCCTTTGGAATAGATTGTGGGTGAAATAAGGCTGGCCCCATTCTTCTCCAATTTAAACTTTCAAAATATTAATTCAATCACTTTTATTGAGACCCTGCTAAATCCTAGGTATTTAGTGTAGAAGGTAAAACCCAGGGTCCAGGGGCCAGGGAGATAGCTCAGTAGAATAAACACTTGCCTGGCAAGCGCAAGGGCCTAAGTTCAATCCCCAGTTCCAAGAAAACAAACAAACAAACAGGGTCTAGAGTGAAAAAAGTCAAGCCAGGTGTAGTGGCACATGCTTGTAATCCTAGCACTTGGGAAGCTGAATCAGGAGGATCACCATGAGTTCAAGGCCAGCCTGGGTGACATAGTGAGACTCTGTCTCAAAAGAGAGAGAGAGAGAGAGAGAGAGAGAGAGACCCTAGCCCCCTCAAAGTGATTCTATGATCCCATTTATATAAGATTCTAGAAAATACAAAGTAATTTTCCAGATAGAGGACAGATCAGGAGGAAAGGCTATGTGAAGGGAATTTGGGGAGTTGTGGGCATGCTAATTATTCCTTTTTTTTTTTTTTTTTTTTTGTGGAACCGGGGATTAAACTCAGGCCATGCGCTTGCCAGGGAAGCACTTATTCCACTGAGCCATCTCCCCGACCCCATTATTCTTGATTTGTGGCAATCGCTTTGTAGATACATGCTTAGTGTCAAAGCTTATCCAATTTTACTCTAATATGTGCAGTTTGTTATATGTCAATAAAATATTTTTTTAAAAAAAATAGTGACTGTCCCCAAAGGGCCTGCAGTTCAAGAGGGCCAAAATGGGAAAATGGATTAAATTGAAGGCAGCCTGAAGATGCTGAAGGTACTCTAGAGGTGAAGCTGCTGAGGGGGACAGAGGACTTCACACGTAGATCAGACCTTGTCAGAGAGTGAGAATTTAGTAGGCAATCCTGGAGGGCAAGGTCTGACCCTGGCACTCTAGCGATTCCCCAGGAGCCCAGCAGTGTAGGTGGGCACCAGGGCAGAGGTATGGTGCAGGGTGGAACCTTGCTGAGCCAGCTTGTCCCCTCCACCCTGCAGACAGCAAGGCCATCGTGGATGGTAACCTGAAGCTGATCTTGGGCCTGATCTGGACGCTGATCCTGCACTACTCCATCTCCATGCCCATGTGGGAGGATGAGGATGATGAGGATGCTCGCAAGCAGACACCAAAGCAGCGCCTGCTTGGCTGGATCCAGAACAAGGTGCCACAGCTGCCCATCACTAACTTCAACCGAGACTGGCAGGATGGCAAGGCCCTGGGTGCCCTGGTGGACAACTGTGCACCTGGTGAGTAGGCCAGCAGGCACCCTTGAAGCTCTCAGCCTGGAAGGGCAGTGGAAATGAGGCTGGGAGTTGTCAGCAATCAGAAGTACCATGGAGTCTGTTCCTTCTCCTAGCAGAAATCATTGCTGGAGTAAGGCTGGACCAGGGCTAGACCTGATTCTACAGTGGCAAGAAAAGATTTATAACACCTAATTTTACAGGCCCAGGCAGCAAGGTTCAGATGAGGTTCAGACAGGGCTGTGAGTTATCAGTGATCACTTGGAGGCCAGAGTTTTACTTCTCTGCTTTGCCACATGGGTGCCACTCGCTCTGAGCAGAGAAGGGAAGTGCAATGGGACTTGTAGCAAGAAAGCCCAGAGTGGGGCCAGGGAGATGGTTCAGTGGAATGAGCGCTTCCTGGCAAGCGCAAGGGCCTGAGTTCAATCTCCGGTTCTGCAAAAAAAAAAAAGAAAAGAAAAGAAAAGAAAAGAAAGAAAGAAAGTCCAGAGTTAGGCTGAGAGCAGACTCTTCTTGGTGAGGCCTTGGAAGAAGTTGAGAAGGGGTTGGGGCCCAGGATGATGTGGATAGAGGCAGCACAGTACTGTCCAGGGGCTGGTGACCCAACCCTGGCCCCTCTGGGTATGGGCCCTGACCTAATCAGGTGGAAATAGATTAGGCCCCTCAGAAAACTGAAGCTGTGTAGGCCAGGGCCCCACCCCATGCACAGCTCCTTTTTGACCATTTCCTGGGAAGAGAGGTCTTCTTCCACCGTCCACTGCCTGAGGAGCCACAGCCCCTTGGGGGAATCCCACCCCTACCTGAGGGTCAGCCAGGGAGCAGGGGACGGGAGGTGGGGGCACGCTGCCTGGGAAGCATTCCCAGCTGCTGAGCCACTGCCCACAGCTGGTGTGGCTGCCAGCAGTGAGCTCAGCTGTTCTGGCCAGTCATGGATTCCAGCCGTTGAGTGGCCCCCTCCCCACTAATGCATAAAGCGGCCCTCCAGCTCTGAACCAAGCATGTCCTGACCCTGTACAGCACCATGGCCTCACAATGTGATCTGGACTGCCTTGGCAGTTTTTTCTGCTAGGAGGCTGGGCTCTTCATGATAATAGAAGACAACTCATCCTCTTCCAAGGCAGTCAGGAAAGAACAGGGATTCTTATGACTGGACCTGGTGTGAGAAGTGCTCAGAGAACTGGGGCTGCAGCTTGAGGGGATAGGTCAGAGGCTGTGTGGGATGGGGCTTTGGCCTCCTCTCCCTGCCCCTGAAGAGCAAAAGACATCTGGCAAGAGTCCTTCATGGGGGCTTGATGCCCGGGGTCTCTGCTGGGTCTTGGGCAGGCAGGAGGCTTGCTGTCAGGGCTGTGCCAGGCTGCGTCAGCTGGGGCAGAAAGCCTTCATTGTTGGTGCTAGTGAGAGCTGCTGTGCCTCATTTGGGATCCCAGCGGATGGGCTGCAACATCAGGAGACAGCGGGAACCCGGCTGATCAGGGGCCTCGAGCCACCAAGGGCGTGAAAGCTGTAGTCTCTGAAGGTGCAGGGAGAACCAGTGCTCTGCATCTGCTGGCTGCTTTCCCCTAACTTGACTCTTCTCACCATCTCTCCAGGCCTCTGCCCAGACTGGGAGGCCTGGGATCCCAACCAGCCTGTACAGAACGCCCGAGAGGCCATGCAACAGGCAGACGACTGGCTCGGGGTGCCCCAGGTACACTGGCAGATGGATGGCACGTGAGGCATGAGGGATGGGGGAGCAGAGCCAGAGGCTGGCCTGCCGGGATATGTGGCAGGATGCAGATGAGAGCTGAGGCTGCTGGGCAAGAGGGTGCCCTGAGAACGTCATTCCTCTCTGTGCAGGTGATTGCGCCCGAGGAGATTGTGGACCCCAACGTGGATGAGCATTCAGTCATGACCTACCTCTCCCAGTTTCCCAAAGCCAAGCTCAAACCTGGCGCCCCTGTTCGCTCCAAGCAGCTGAACCCCAAGAAAGCTATTGCCTATGGGCCTGGTATGTATGGCACCCTTTGGGCTTTCCCCAGGGAAACTGAGGCAGGGTAGGGTCCCACCTGTGGGATTCTCCCTAGGGAAGCTGTGGCGGGGTAGTGTCCCACCGTGTAATGTGGATTCTGCTTTTACCCCTAGGCATTGAGCCCCACGGCAACACAGTGCTGCAGCCTGCTCACTTCACTGTACAGACAGTGGATGCTGGGCTGGGAGAGGTGCTGGTCTACATTGAGGACCCTGAGGGCCACACGGAAGAGGTATGGAGAGCCCCTAGGAATGGAGAGATTAGCATGAGATTGGAACCAGATGTCTGGGGGTGGCTTAAGGTATCACCATGGTACCATCTGTATCTAGAAAGCCCTGGACACTGTGGAGTCAGGAGTCAGCAGGAGCCACAACCACTGTGACTTCCATCTTTTTCCTTTTCAATAGGCCAAGGTGGTTCCCAATAATGACAAGGATCGCACATATGCTGTCTCCTATGTGCCCAAGGTTGCTGGATTACACAAGGTATCTCCCTGCAGGCCCTCCCACCCTCCCTGCTGTTCACATCCATAGCTGTGATTCAGTGGACCCCTCTCAGCCTACACCCGCCCGTCTCAGGGCACCAGTCATCCACCGTCCTCTGCTCTGCCCCTCCACCCTTCTTAGAACTGCTCTCCACTAGAAGCTAATCTTTGACCTGTGATCCCTAGGTGACTGTGCTCTTTGCTGGCCAGAACATTGAGCGTAGCCCCTTTGAGGTGAATGTGGGCATGGCCCTTGGGGATGCCAACAAGGTGTCAGCCCGTGGCCCTGGCCTGGAACCTGTGGGTAATGTGGCAAACAAACCCACCTACTTTGACATCTACACTGCTGGTATGTATACACCCCCAGGCATGTCAGGTGGGCAGCTCTTGATGGGAGGAGGGGTGTGAACAGGGGGCTTGGGCAGAGGCTCTAAACAGAGGCTGGTTGGCCTCAGAATGGGGGAGCCTCAATCAGCTGTGTGTCCAGAATGGCTCCTGATGGCGTTTGTCCATGCAGGGGCTGGCACTGGTGACGTTGCTGTGGTGATCGTGGACCCACAGGGCCGTCAGGACACAGTAGAGGTGGCCCTGGAGGACAAGGGTGACAGCACATTCCGTTGCACATACAGGCCTGTGATGGAGGGACCTCACACAGTGCACGTGGCCTTTGCCGGTTCCCCCATCACTCGCAGTCCATTCCCTGTCCATGTGGCAGAAGGTAAGCAGCTTTACACTGATCCTCCAAATAACCCACACAGAAGCCAGGATGCAGAAAGCCTTGCCACCATATTCTGGGTCTGAGGACTGATGGGAAATGCAGGACCTAATCCACAAGGTGGGGCAGCTAGTTGAGGAGAGCCTGGGTTGGATAAAGGGAAGAGCATCCTTCAGACCACTGAAGGATACCACAACAGCTTACACTGTGGAAAGATTGAGAGGAAGTGGCAGGGCCACACTGGTGACCAGTAAGAGCCCGCCTACTTGCCAGGCCTTCCGTTGACCCTTCTGCACTGGTTCTCTCCCTACATTCAGTGCCCCCGCCGCCTCCTGCTCCCTCTGTGCCCATCGTCCACCAGGCCAAGAGAGTGGCGCCACGTTAGTACTCGCCAGTGGAGGCAAGGCTGGGCATAGCCATACCTGACTGGCCTCACCTGTGTTGTGTGGCATGAACCACATGCTGTGGATTGGCCCCATTCCGTGGCATTCAGTGGAAGGCCCCAGGTTCCATGCCACTGGCTGTGCTCCCTGGCAGGACTAGTTTCCTTGCCATTTGCCTGATGATTTCTGTGGTCAGCTTAGGGTCTGTGCCACTGCCTGTGTTCTGTGGCAGGCCTTGGGTTTTATGCCACTGCTTGTGTTCTGGGGCAGGCCCTGAGTTACATCTCCTTGCCTGTTTAGTGGTACTCCTTGAGGCACCATGCCATGTTATGTATTCTGTGGCAGGCAGAGATTTTTACTCTTGCCTGTGTCCTGCAGCAGGCCGCATTCTATGCATTGCCTGTGTTCTGTGGCAGGCTTTGTGTGACATGGAACAGCTCTGGTTCCATGGCATTGCTGGGTGTTTTGCAGCATGGCCTGGTTCCTGAGGCTGCAATAGTGGGCTTGAGAAGGTCCTGATGAACAGACTTGGTGTGGATGAAGGGCCCTTCCCTGTCTCTCTTAGCCCACTCTTAGCCCAGGCTTTGTCATGTTTTTTGTGCCAAGTGGCAGTGGCTCTGAGGACCCCAGCAGAAAAGGTTTCTTGTAACCTCCCTGACCTGGGGCCAGCTCTCTACTCAGCACAGCATCGTGGTTGTTTGGGAGGCATAACAGCGAGCAGGCAGGGATGCATGGGGTCATGGCCTGTGCTTGTTGGTACGAAGGGTCAAAAAAGACTGTGGGCAGTGACAGAGACAAGCCAACTTCCCTTTCATTCCTCTCCCCAGCCTGTAACCCCAATGCCTGCCGTGCCTCTGGACGAGGCCTGCAGCCCAAAGGTGTCCGTGTGAAAGAGGTGGCTGACTTCAAGGTGTTCACCAAGGGTGCTGGTAGTGGGGAGCTCAAGGTCACAGTTAAGGGGCCAAGTAAGTACCAGGGCCAGCAGGGGGGCTGGGGTGGAGAAACAGGGAGGAAATCTGGCCAGTTGTTCTGACAACCTGAGGGTGAGGACCACCAGCCCACAACACACTGGGAGAGGACCCCAAAGGGGCACCGTGGGATCATGGCACATTGTCTCTGGCCTGCCTCAGCTTCCCAGCCTGCAAACTAGAACTAGTTCTGTCTGTCTTGTTTGGCTCCCTGGGGTGACCATGGTCCCTGCCCTGGGTCTCAGCTCTGCCCATAGTCACACTGCCCTTAGCTCCCTGGGCCCCAAGGCTTTCCTGAGAGGATTGAGAAATTGGGACTCACAGTACATAACCTGCCCTCCCACCAGAGGGCACAGAGGAGCTGGTAAAGGTTCGAGAAGCTGGAGATGATGTGTTTGAGTGCGAGTACTACCCCGTGGTGCCTGGGAAGTATGTGGTGACCATCACATGGGGTGGCTACGCCATCCCCCGAAGGTAAGAGCCATTTGAGCCATCATGGGGCAAGAGGAAGGGAGGCAAGCTGCAGGCAATGAGGTGGAGAAGAGGGTGCCTCTGGCAGGGGCAGTTGCTGGCACTGACATGGGCTCCCTCTTTACCCCAGCCCTTTCGAGGTCCAGGTGAGCCCAGAAGCAGGGACACAGAAGGTGCGAGCCTGGGGCCCTGGTTTGGAGACTGGCCAGGTGGGCAAGTCAGCTGACTTTGTGGTGGAGGCCATTGGCACAGAAGTGGGGACACTGGGTAAGTGGCTGGGTGCAAGAAGGTGGGATTAATGGGGAGAGGTATGACATCTTGGAGGGACAGACACTGGGGAGTGACTGGGGACAGGTGGGAGTACTGAGGGTTATCAGGATGAGCAGGGAGATGGGATGCTGGGGGACTGGGGAGGTTGCTGTAGGGAGAGATGAGAAACCCGCCTGAGTCTAAGCTGTCTCTCACACCCTCTCATGCTCTGCTTCTCACCCAGGTTTTTCCATTGAGGGGCCCTCACAGGCCAAGATTGAGTGCGATGACAAGGGCGATGGTTCCTGCGATGTGCGGTACTGGCCCACAGAGCCTGGCGAGTATGCCGTGCATGTCATTTGTGATGACGAGGACATCCGTGACTCCCCTTTCATTGCCCACATCCAGCCAGCCCCACCAGACTGCTTCCCGGACAAGGTGCGAGCCCGGCTCCTGCACACAGGCTGGGATGGGAGGTGGTGAGCTCGGGCTCCTCCAGGCCCAACCTGGCTCTCATCTCTCGCCCTGCCCAGGTGAAGGCCTTTGGGCCTGGGCTGGAGCCCACTGGCTGCATTGTAGACAAGCCTGCTGAGTTCACCATCGATGCCCGAGCAGCCGGCAAGGGAGACCTGAAGCTCTATGCCCAGGTGGGTGCCACCCAGGCTCTGCTGCCCCCACTATCCCTGGCAGGGACTCCAGAAGGGAGATTGCCACATCAAGAAAGCAGGAGTGGGTCTCATGGGTCCATTAGTAGGACAAAAAACTTAAAACTTATTTTCTTATTCCTGGTAACCTTAGAATCATATTTTACATAAAACTCATTTTTTTAACTGATAATGTACATTTGAAAGATGATACTACTGAATTTTAGCTAAAATTTTATTTTCTCAAACTCACATCCATTGGCCCTGAGATGTTAATGAATATTTTCTTCAGACTCCTCCATTTTAGGAGTACTGATTTCACCCTGCTTCTCCCTGACAGATACATTTCAGAGATGAAGAAAACTAGACTGGGAAAGCCCACCACACAGGTGGCCTTGAGTCAGGGCTTATGGCTCCCAGGGTGGGTCTGGCCACTAGAGCATGTGACCACTAGGATGTGGTCTGATGACAAGGCTGGTGAGGCTTCAGTGTGTTAGTGGGCAGGACAGGAGTGGTGCTAAGGCTGCCTGCTGCTGTCAGCCACAGCCACTAAGAACCTTGCTTGGGTGCCGCCCACAGGATGCAGACGGCTGCCCCATCGATATCAAAGTGATCCCCAACGGTGACGGCACCTTCCGCTGCTCCTACGTGCCCACCAAGCCCATCAAGCACACCATCATCGTCTCCTGGGGTGGCGTCAACGTGCCTAAGAGCCCCTTCAGGGTGCGTCCTGCCCACTCCCAGGGGCCCCAGAGGGAGATGGGCTGTGTTCAGCAGGGATGGGATGGTAGTCCCTGGAACTTTGCAGCCCCTCCCCATCCAAAGATCCTCACTGGTGCTAAAATGGATCCATTAGGCTGGGGCAAGTGGTGTGAGGAAGAGGATGGGACTTGAGGGAGGTGTATGGTGCTGAGCTCTGACCCCTGCCCACAGGTGAATGTGGGAGAAGGCAGTCACCCCGAGAGGGTGAAGGTATATGGCCCCGGCGTGGAGAAGACAGGCCTCAAGGCCAATGAGCCCACTTACTTCACAGTGGACTGCAGTGAAGCAGGGCAAGGTGCGCATGTGCACAGGGCTGGGTCTGAGCAGGAGGGGCACGGACTCCAGTGGGATCCTGTACCCAGCAGGTGTGGGAGGAGTAGGCCCCCCTCAGGCTTCTGCCTTCCTTCCCTCAGGCGACGTGAGCATTGGCATCAAGTGCGCCCCTGGTGTCGTGGGACCTGCAGAAGCTGACATTGACTTTGACATCATCAAGAATGACAACGACACCTTCACAGTCAAGTACACGCCCCCAGGAGCTGGTCACTACACTATCATGGTGCTGTTTGCCAACCAGGTACCCCCAGCTCTCTGCTGTTGGGAGTGACAGAGGTCTATGTAGGAGGCCTATGCAGGCAGCTGGCAGTGTGTGGTTTGGGGGGCAGGAGGCACAGTTATGCAGACCCTTCCCTGAGTGTGGGCACTGCAGCCAAGAGGACACACAGGGCTGTGCACAGGCCATCCTTGTCCACACTCATCTGCTGAGCATTTGACCAACATTCAGCCTGGCACAGGTGGGCTGTGTAGGCAGAGCCATGACCAGGTCCTTTCCATTTCCAGGAGATCCCTGCCAGCCCCTTCCACATCAAGGTGGACCCATCCCATGATGCCAGCAAGGTCAAGGCTGAGGGTCCAGGGCTGAACCGCACAGGTAGGCATCTGGAGGCAGGAGGCCAGTGTGAGGCTGGGCTTGAGGGAGGCCCTCACCACCATTTCTGGTGGCCTCTCAGGTGTGGAAGTCGGGAAGCCCACTCACTTCACGGTGCTAACCAAGGGAGCCGGCAAGGCCAAGCTGGATGTGCACTTTGCTGGGGCTGCCAAGGGTGAGGTTGTGCGGGACTTTGAAATCATAGACAACCATGACTACTCCTACACCGTCAAGTACACCGCTGTCCAGCAGGTGCGTCCCATCCTTGCATGACCAGGGACCTGGGATCCCTCCTCCAGTCTCACAGAACTGTTCTTTTCGTGTTCCTTTCTTGCCTCCCATTCTCTCTTGCACTGTGTCTCTGAGCCTGAGTTAACAGAGGCCAGGAGATATTGCTGGGCTGTAGCTAAGTTACCTAGTTCTGACCTTCTGTTATACCCAATAGGGCAACATGGCAGTGACTGTGACCTATGGCGGGGACCCTGTCCCCAAAAGCCCCTTTATAGTAAATGTGGCACCCCCACTGGACCTCAGCAAAGTCAAAGTTCAAGGCCTCAACAGCAGTAAGTGGATAAGAGCCACCCTGGGAGTGAAGGGTGTTGGAGTGGGGTGGGCTGGAGTCCCTGTTCATGGTGTCCCTTGTGCCCTTGTGCTCCATACAGAAGTGGCTGTGGGGCAGGAGCAAGCATTTTCTGTGAACACTCGAGGGGCCGGTGGTCAGGGCCAGCTGGATGTGCGAATGACCTCACCCTCCCGACGGCCAATCCCCTGCAAACTGGAGCCTGGGGGTGGAGCAGAAGCCCAGGCAGTTCGTTACATGCCCCCTGAAGAGGGACCCTACAAGGTGGAAATCACCTATGACGGTCACCCAGTGCCTGGTAGCCCCTTTGCTGTGGAGGGTGTACTGCCCCCCGACCCCTCTAAGGTGAGGAGACAGGTTGGTTGGAGCCAGGACTTGGAGCTTTGTGAGAAAAGTGGACCAATCAGGTGCAGAGGGCAGAAGGACTTACGTCCAGGAGCGGGCATAGCCAAGGGCTTAGGCACAGGTCTGTCTTCCACCCCAGGACCTTCTTTGTAAACAACTTAATGATTAAGAACCTTGGCTTATGGGCTGGAGAGATGGCTCAGTGGAATAAGCGCTTCTCTAGCAAGTGCAAGGTCCTGAGTTCAATCCTCGGTTCCGCAAAAAAAAAAAAAGAACCTTGGCTTAAATCATGGGTCCACTAACTAGGACAAATCATTTCATCTTCTGAATACTTGTACTCAGCCATAGCTGCTCCACTGAAGGTTCTCAGCTTGGGGGAGGCTGGGCCACTATGGAGGTAGGGCAGTTTGGGCAAGGCCACAAATGGAGAACTCACACACCTGCTCCCTCCTAGGTCTGTGCTTATGGCCCTGGGCTCAAGGGTGGCCTGGTAGGCACCCCTGCACCATTCTCCATCGACACCAAAGGTGCTGGCACAGGTGGCCTCGGGCTGACTGTGGAGGGCCCCTGTGAGGCCAAGATCGAGTGTCAGGACAATGGCGATGGCTCATGTGCCGTCAGCTACCTGCCCACAGAGCCCGGCGAGTACACCATCAATATCCTGTTTGCCGAAGCCCACATCCCAGGATCGCCCTTCAAGGCTACCATCCAGCCCGTGTTTGACCCAAGCAAGGTTCGGGCCAGTGGGCCAGGCCTGGAGCGTGGCAAGGCTGGAGAGGCAGCCACCTTCACTGTGGATTGCTCGGAGGCGGGTGAGGCTGAGCTGACCATTGAGATCCTGTCCGATGCTGGCGTCAAGGCAGAGGTGCTGATCCACAACAACGCAGATGGCACCTACCACATCACCTATAGCCCCGCATTCCCTGGCACCTATACCATCACCATCAAGTATGGCGGCCACCCAATCCCCAAATTCCCCACCCGTGTCCACGTGCAACCAGCTGTTGACACAAGCGGTGTCAAGGTCTCGGGCCCTGGAGTGGAGCCTCATGGTGAGTGAGAGAGGAGACAGCAGTGGGAGGGAAGGAGGGAGGGATGTAGGCCTGAGGGCTGGACTCTGGAAGCCCAAGTCCTCAGGGGTCTAGCCATCCCAAAGAAAGTGCCGAGGGGACAAGCAGGGCATGGATGTTACCCTCTGCTCTTGTGACAAAATGGCATCTTCCCCTGGGCATATTTCTGGGCCTGATCTTTACACTTACTAGCATAAGGGAGCTCAGACCCAGGAAAGTTAAAAACCCTGCTCAGGAGGGAGCTCTGGGACTGAAGATAGTAAGAGTCAAGGGACAGTAGCATAAGTGGGCCATCTACAGGAGCCACACTTGGGACTGGGTGTGGGGGAGACAGAGGCCCAGACTTACCCTCTAGGACCCACATTCTGGTGGAACAACTGATGTGGGCAGCAAATGCCACCAGCTGCAGAGGACAGCCTGGGGCCAACAGGGGTACAGAGAGGTAGCCGGGCTCTACTTGGAAGATTAGGGCTGAACACCCATGCTGAGAATGCTTCTCTGGGATGCAGGTGTCCTGCGGGAAGTGACCACTGAGTTCACTGTGGATGCAAGATCTTTAACAGCCATGGGTGGCAACCACGTGACAGCTCGTGTGCTCAACCCCTCGGGTGCTAAGACAGACACCTACGTGACAGACAATGGGGATGGCACCTACCGAGTGCAGTACACGGCCTATGAAGAGGGTGAGTGGCAGGGCTGAGTGAGGCACATCTGGTGGGGCGCCATCCCAGTGTGCTCAGCCTGGTGGGATGGTGGGGGCCACATTCCCAGACTGACTTTGTGGCTGACTTCCAGGGGTACACTTGGTGGAAGTGCTATATGATGAGGTGGCTGTGCCCAAGAGCCCCTTCCGAGTGGGCGTGACTGAAGGCTGTGACCCCACCCGAGTCCGGGCCTTTGGGCCAGGCCTAGAGAGTGGCCTGGTCAACAAGTCCAACCGCTTCACTGTGGAAACCAGGTATCCTCACCCTTCCCTAACCTTGACCTGAGGCTGTGGTCACCTTGATCTTGTCTCTCCCATCTGTCCTTTTGTCTGTGATTCACCCTACCACCTCCCCTTAAGGCACAAACCTCCCATAGTCTCCCTCCCCTGTGGAGCCCCAGCTACCTGCTCTCATTTTGCTCCCTAGCCCCAAACTCTCTCCATTCCACACTCAATGGTCCTAGCAGAGGGTATGGGGGTGTCATTTTGCAGGGGAGCTGGCACTGGCGGCCTAGGCCTAGCCATTGAGGGCCCTTCAGAAGCCAAGATGTCCTGCAAAGACAACAAGGATGGTAGCTGCACCGTGGAGTACATCCCCTTCACCCCTGGAGACTATGATGTCAACATCACCTTCGGGGGCCGGCCCATCCCAGGTACACAGGAGGGGTGGCATGGGGAAGGCTGTGAGATGCCCACTCTGGGAGAGGGGAGCTAGGTATGGAGACTGGCAGAGGGGCACCCTGGAGCAGGTGGAGGCAGGAGCCCCCATGGCAGGAGGGAAGCCCAAGGGTGCAGAGGCCTGGCTGGCTAGAAAGCTGGGCAGGGGCTGCTATGGGTGTGACAGCCCCTCTCATTTGTTCCCAGCAGCCCTTGCCTAGAGTCAGACTTCAGCCATGCAGGGCCACTCAAGAGGGTTGGTCACTCAGATGATCCAGGTCATTGCTGTTGGCTGCCAGGTCAATGTCAGAAAATATTTGACCCCTAGCACAGATGGGCAGATTTGCCCAGCCTCAGGCCACAGCCAAGTTCCTTTATTCTTATTTATGTTTTCTTAGAAGGTTCTTAAGCATTTTCAAATGTTGGTCTGGCCTTCCTGTGGTTATCTCAAGGCAGGAGGCTGCCCCTTCCTGGGTCCTTGGCATCAGGGAGACCTTCATGGCAGGTGGGTAGAGACTGATGTCCTCCTCTTCCTCACAGGGAGTCCATTCCGGGTACCAGTGAAGGACGTGGTGGACCCTGGGAAGGTGAAGTGCTCAGGGCCAGGGCTGGGGGCTGGGGTCAGGGCCCGTGTACCACAGACCTTCACAGTGGACTGCAGTCAAGCCGGACGTGCCCCCCTGCAAGTGGCTGTGCTGGGCCCTACAGGTATAGAGTGTTGGGGGTGGGGAAGGCAGCAGGGCAAGGAGCCAGGAGGCTCTGCTGACTCTGTACTCCTTGCCCAGGTGTGGCTGAGCCTGTCGAGGTGCGTGACAATGGGGATGGCACCCACACTGTCCACTATACCCCTGCCACTGACGGGCCCTACACAGTAGCTGTCAAGTATGCTGACCAGGAGGTGCCCCGCAGGTAAGGAGCAGCTCAGCTCTCGAGGCTTCTCCTGGGGCCACTGCTGATCTTGGAGAGACCCTTCCCATGTGAGCCTCATCTGGTGGATGCTCCATCCTGCTCCTCCCTGGAGCTCTCTGCCCTGGATGTGGACTTGGACACCAAAATTAGCACTTACAGGAAGGGCTAATGAGAGAGGCCCTTCTTTTTAACAGTTAGCTAGCTTCTTCTAGGTAATGGCAAAGAAATACTGTGTCAAAGGAGTCCCTGGGTGACCTGCCCTGGGACTTGGGGTACAACCTGGCCCCTGGAAATGGGCCCCTCTTTCCCACAAAGATATCCCTCCTGCCTGTGTGTATGGGGGGGGCATGTGACCAAGATAAGATGGGACCTCCCACCCCCCTGCCAACTGTCTATCCTTCTGCCACTCAAGCCCGTTCAAGATCAAGGTGCTGCCGGCTCACGATGCCAGCAAGGTGCGGGCCAGCGGCCCCGGCCTCAATGCCTCTGGCATCCCTGCCAGCCTGCCAGTGGAGTTCACCATCGATGCTCGGGATGCTGGGGAGGGGCTGCTCACTGTCCAGATCCTGGTGAGTCCCACGCACCTACCTCTCAGTCAGGCCCTGGGTGCAGGCAGGCCTTGATCCCTGCTTCTCTCCCAGGACCCCGAGGGCAAGCCTAAGAAGGCCAATATCCGAGACAATGGGGATGGCACATATACCGTGTCATACCTGCCAGACATGAGTGGCCGGTACACCATCACCATCAAGTATGGCGGCGATGAGATCCCTTACTCGCCTTTCCGCATCCATGCCCTGCCCACTGGAGATGCCAGCAAGTGCCTTGTTACAGGTGGGCACCCACTCCACATCCCCACCCTTCTCACCATCCAGCCCCCTCAGAACATGTCCCCATCCCCTGCCCAGTCCTCAGGGGTGGCCAGCCAGAGAGCCTGGCCCCCTCCAACCCCTTTCCACTCCAGCCCCACCCTTAATACTGCAATGCCTAACACCCTTCTCTTTTTCCAGTGTCCATTGGAGGCCATGGCCTGGGTGAGCATCTTCCTCTCTCTTTTGCTAGGGGCTGGGGGCTTACAGACAGCTGAGAACTCAGGGCAAGAGCTGAGCACAGCCCCCACAGCCCCTAACCTGTCTTTTCCTTATGGCAGGTGCCTGCCTGGGTCCCCGGATCCAGATTGGAGAGGAGACTGTGATCACAGTGGATGCCAAGGCAGCTGGCAAGGGGAAGGTGACCTGCACGGTGTCCACGCCAGATGGGGCAGAGCTTGACGTGGATGTGGTGGAGAACCACGATGGTACCTTTGACATCTACTACACCGCGCCCGAACCGGGCAAGTACGTCATCACCATCCGCTTTGGGGGCGAGCACATCCCCAACAGCCCCTTCCACGTTCTGGTAAGCTCACATCCCCACCAGGGACAGACAATGGCTGATGGGGAATGGGGAGGGAACGCCATTCTAAGCTGTCCTCGCCTCCAGGACCCTTGAGGTCCTGAAGCCTCCTGAAGGGGGAAGGGCGCACAGCTCTGCTTTTGGCTGGCATAGACTCAGAACTTAGAGATGCAGTGCTCCCCTCTGCCAGGACTGCTGTCCTCGATCTGTATGCACAAAGGGGGGCCCTGCAGGAGCGCCAGGATGGGGCACCTGAGATACCACACAGGACCTTAGTTCCCCTGGCCATTCTCTGAGTTGCACCCTGTGCCCAGTGCCTTGCCTCCCCAGGCATGTGACCCCCTGCCCCGTGTGGAGGAGCCCTCTGAAGTGCTGCCACTGCGCCAGCCCTACGCCCCTCCCCGGCCCAGCACCTGCCCCACGTACTGGGTACTGTGCCTGCCACGGTGGACCTCGGCCTCTTTCCCCCTCTTCCTCCATTTCTTCCTTCTGTTCTTCTGTCGTCAATGCTGGGGCATGGTTTGGGGCCTCTTGTAGAGTAGGCAGGCAACAGTCTGGGCAGAGGGAGCTCTAAGCAGGCACAGCACTCCATTTCTTGCAACCGGCACACTTCTCAGGCCCTCGGGTGTCACCTCTGATCATCTTGTTCTCTCCTTGCTTTGTCAACTTTGGTCATGAGGCAGGCTGCACTCCAACGCCCTCCGCAGACCATGACCATTTCCTCTCACCTGTTGCAGGCTACAGAGGAGCCCGTGGTGCCCATGGAGCCCTTGGAGTCCATGCTGCGGCCCTTCAACCTGGTCATCCCCTTCACTGTGCAGAAAGGAGAGCTCACAGGTATGGCCTAGGGTCCCTAGCACGAAAGAAAGCCTCCTAGAGTTGAAAACTGAGGGCACAGAGAGGGAACAAACTACTCTAGGTCACAAACCAAATTGGGCAGCGCTAAAACTCAGACTCAAGTCACCTGTCTCTCAGTTCCTGCTTCCACCTGCTGCTCCAACCTGTGTCCCAGTACCTGGCCTCAGGGGTGAAAGCAGAGCCACACAGGAGCAGGGCGAGGGGCAGCAAGGGCTTCCAGTGGGAGAAACCAGGGTCCCCTCTATAACTGTGCCCTGCAGGGGAGGTGAGGATGCCCTCTGGGAAGACTGCCCGACCCAACATCACTGACAACAAGGATGGCACCATCACGGTGAGGTATGCGCCTACCGAGAAGGGACTGCACCAGATGGGGATCAAATATGACGGCAACCACATCCCCGGTGAGTGGGCTGCAGGGGCCCTGCCCTCCCTCCTTGAGCAGTCAAGCACCACTGCGTGCAGACACCCTGCGTTCTCTAGAGAAGCTCATGTCCTGGGGGAGGCAGGCTTCCAGGAACCAAGTCCCCATGGTAAAGGTGCAGGGCTCAGCAGGGAAGCTGCTGGAAAGTGTGGGGGCCTAGGTGGGCACAGGAAGCCCCTGCCCTGTGCTGACCCAGCCCTCTCCCTGTCCCCCCAGGGAGCCCCTTGCAGTTCTATGTGGACGCCATCAACAGCCGCCATGTCAGTGCCTATGGGCCAGGCCTGAGCCATGGTATGGTCAACAAGCCGGCTACTTTTACCATTGTCACCAAGGATGCTGGAGAAGGTGAGGAGAACTGCAGGGATGGGTGTAGGACAAGCCAGCTACATAGGCAAGAGCAGGACCTCTAACCTCAGCCCTGTCTCCACCCTACAGGGGGTCTATCTCTGGCTGTGGAGGGCCCATCCAAGGCAGAGATCACCTGTAAGGACAATAAGGATGGCACCTGCACCGTATCCTACCTGCCCACAGCACCTGGAGACTACAGCATCATCGTGCGCTTTGATGACAAGCACATCCCAGGGAGTCCCTTCACAGCCAAGATCACAGGTGGGTGACATCTGGACACAGTCAGCATACAGCATGGACATACAGACACACATGCACAGAACATACAGCAGATGTGTAGTTCTCTCGGGACTCAGACAGAAGCCCTCTAAAGGTGGAGAAAGAGTTGTTGGATAGACACAGAGAACACTTCTCCACAGCAGAGAAGGCCATCCAACCATCCCAGGCTTAGGCAGGATCTCATTTTGTTTTTGAAGTTACTCTTGAAAGCCAGAGTATTGGCCGTCTTCTGGTGAGATGCGTCCCTCAGGGTCTGCCCTGGGGGGTCCTGAGCCCCAGGGGTGCAGAGCTGCCTGGGGTCACAGCAGCTTCGTATCCAACTCCTCCACAGGTGATGACTCGATGAGGACCTCACAGCTGAATGTGGGCACTTCCACGGATGTGTCACTGAAGATCACAGAAAGTGACCTGAGCCTGCTCACTGCCAGCATCCGAGCACCTTCAGGCAACGAGGAGCCCTGCCTGCTGAAGCGCCTGCCCAACCGGCACATCGGTGAGCTTGGGTCTCCAGAGGTGTCTGGGTGGGGGGGAGAAGGGGCCTGAGGGCTGCTCTGCCTGATCCCCCCCACTCCACAGGGATCTCCTTCACCCCCAAGGAGGTCGGCGAGCACGTGGTAAGCGTGCGCAAGGGCGGCAAACACGTCACCAACAGCCCCTTCAAGATTCTGGTGGGGCCATCTGAGATTGGGGATGCCAGCAAGGTCCGGGTCTGGGGCAAGGGCCTCTCCGAGGGGCACACTTTCCAGGTGGCAGAGTTCTTCGTGGACACACGTAATGCAGGTACTTTTGCCCCAAGAGAGCCATTCCGACTGGCCCCTCTGGCGGGTGACTTCCTTTCCTGCCCAATGCCCATTTTGCCATACTCTTGCCTGGACTTCCTGGCCCATCTCTGTCAGACTTTACAGTCTGGGTCCATTCAGGGAAGTGAACATCCTGTCAGTTCTTGCACTTCTAAGAGAAAGCCTATTGTCCTTGGGGCCAAGGCCCCACTCACCCCTCTACCTCCCTCCACACCCCTTTGCTTAGTGGTTACTACATGCATTGGGTGCCCATTCTGGGCAGGGCCTGCAGTTTGAGATAGGGAGAGCATTGTAGTATGGGTGGCACAGGGCCGAGGGAGATATGTCCCTCCCCCTTCTCAGGTTATGGGGGCCTGGGGCTAAGCATTGAAGGCCCTAGCAAGGTGGACATCAACTGTGAGGACATGGAGGATGGCACATGCAAAGTCACCTACTGCCCCACGGAGCCTGGCACCTACATCATCAACATAAAGTTTGCTGACAAGCATGTGCCTGGTAAGCTCTGGGCGTGGGCCACATGGGGGTAGACCAGGGGCTGAGTGACAGGCAGTTTGTGTGCCTGACCCACCCTCCTACCCTACAGGAAGCCCCTTCACTGTGAAGGTGACTGGTGAGGGCCGCATGAAGGAAAGCATCACCCGGCGTAGACAGGCGCCTTCCATTGCCACCATCGGCAGTACCTGCGACCTCAACCTCAAGATCCCAGGTAGAGTGGGGAAGAGCTGGAGTGGAGGACAGTGGGAGAGGCCAGGCGCCCCCGCCCCCTGGTCTCCATATCCCTTCCTCACTGCTCACCTCACCTCCATGGATTCCGCAGGGAACTGGTTCCAGATGGTATCTGCCCAGGAGCGCCTGACACGCACCTTCACACGCAGCAGCCACACATACACCCGTACAGAGCGGACCGAGATCAGCAAGACGCGGGGCGGGGAGACAAAGCGTGAGGTGCGGGTGGAGGAGTCCACCCAGGTCGGTGGGGACCCTTTCCCTGCTGTTTTTGGGGACTTCCTGGGCCGGGAACGTCTGGGCTCCTTCGGCAGCATCACCCGGCAGCAGGAAGGTGAGCAGAGAGGCAGGGCTGGGCCAGGGTCCTTGCTGGGAGGCTTTGAGGGTGAGACTCAGCCCAGACAGCCTGGGCTGCTCTGGGCAGAGGATGGAGTTTCACTGGCATTGAGGGGCAGAAACAGCCCTGCTCGCCCTGACATTCCCAACCCTGCAGGGGAAGCCAGCTCTCAGGACATGACTGCACAGGTGACCAGTCCATCCGGCAAGATAGAAGCTGCAGAGATCGTCGAGGGGGAGGACAGTGCCTACAGTGTGCGCTTTGTGCCTCAGGAGATGGGGCCCCATACGGTCACTGTCAAGTACCGTGGCCAGCATGTGCCTGGCAGCCCCTTCCAGTTCACTGTGGGCCCGCTGGGTGAAGGAGGTGCTCACAAGGTGCGAGCTGGAGGCACAGGGCTAGAGAGAGGTGTGGCCGGCGTGCCAGGTGAGGGGCAAGGGCCTGGGAGAGAGTCTGGGGTCAGGGCAGCATGAGGAACAGTGGTATTCAAGTGCCCCCCTGCCCTGCTTCCCTACATACAGCTGAGTTTAGCATCTGGACCCGAGAAGCTGGTGCTGGGGGTCTGTCCATTGCAGTGGAGGGCCCCAGCAAGGCAGAGATTGCATTTGAAGACCGCAAAGATGGCTCCTGTGGGGTCTCCTATATTGTCCAGGAGCCAGGTTAGTATCCAGTGGTGCTGGACCAGACTGACCTTCCAGATCATGTTCTGTTCACTGACCAGGCCAAACATGCCCAAGACTGCAGGAGATGGGGAGAGCAGGCTCCCCTCAGTGGCCCTGCTCCTTCCCTCCTGTGTCCCTTCACCTACCCCTGGAGTGCTGGACTCTCCTCAGAGCTGAGCTCTGCCCTGAGGAACTGGTCCTGGATGAGGCTGTGGGTGTGGGTATCAGTCTCACCGTCCCCCAGCTAGGGCCTTACTGACTGGCTGCCCTTTCCAGGTGACTATGAAGTGTCCATCAAGTTTAACGATGAGCACATCCCAGACAGCCCCTTCGTGGTGCCCGTGGCCTCCCTCTCAGATGATGCACGCCGTCTCACGGTCACCAGCCTCCAGGTGTGTGCTGGGCGTGGGCCTCTCTGCTAACTGGAAGATAAGCAGGGGTCTAGGGTGGCAGGCCCATGTGGCCAGGAGTTTAGCAGTGACCTTCCCTGGAAGGGCCAGGCAGCAGGGGTCCCCCAGGGCAGGGCACTTGAGGAAGAGTCTGGGTCCCCATCCACTTACCCCTGCTCTGTCACTCTGCCTTGTTTTTCTTTGACCTTACTACCTCCTGTCATTTCTTAAACTGAGTTTGTTCTACTTCGTTCCCAAAGTTCTAATGATTTTATGAGAATAATATGAGAATAATATAAAATCAACATTAAAGGGGCTGGTGAGATGGCTCAGTGGTCTAAAGCACCTACTTAGAACAAGCTAAGCAAAGCACAGGGACCGCGGTTCAATCCCCCCAGCGCCACATGCCAGCCAGCCCCGCCCCCTGGTGGGCTGAGCTGGCCACACACACACACACACACACACACACACACACACACACACACATAAATAAATAAAAAAAAAAAAAACATTAAATAAGAGTAAGCCAGTTTGCAGAGAAGCCCCGCAAGCTCCTACATATATGCATGTAGCCTCAGGACCAGGTTGCCTCACCTGGTGTACAGATGGTGGGGGAGCTCCACTTTCTCCTGCCAGGATTTGTACAGTGAGCACGTCTTCTTTTCCTTCTATCAAAGGGACCATGTATAACGAGGGTCCTCAGCAATCACACTGCACATGGACAGGATCTTGCTAAGGAGCATGGAGGTGTACTCCACACACATCCCTCTTCCAGCTGCCCTTGAGGATAGACCCATCAGACCCCACTGAGCCCTGCTGCATCTGTCCCCACCCTAGAACCAGCCCCCAGAGCACTCCTGTGCCCCCTATGGTTCCCCTCCTTTGTCCATCTCTCCCCAGAAGCATGCCTAGACCAGGCCAGACACAGCTATCCACACCTGAGCTCTGGGGCACCTGCAGTCCATACAGCACTCTTAGGCCCTTTCTTCTCTTCC